GGTATTGCTTTAAATTTGTGCAGTAAGGTCATTTTCATGATAATAATTCTACCAATCTATGAACATCAGATATATTTTTGCCTTGTAATTCTTTTTTTCTTCAAGCTTTCATATTTTCGTTGCAGAGGTCTTTCACTTCCTTAGCTAAGGTAATATCCAGTTTTGATAGTTTTTTTAAAAATTGTTTTAGGAGCTATTGTAAGTGGAATTATTTCCCTATTTCTCAGTTTCTTAGCCTGTCTGTTCCCCACACACACACATCCCAGTTCTGGCGCTTGAACTCAGGATCTAGGTGCTATCCCTGAGTCTCTTTGTGCTTAAGGCTAGCACTCAACAACTCAAGCCACTGCACTACTTCCAGCTTTTTCTGAGTAGTTTATTGGATATAAGAGTCTCACAGGGGCTGGGAAGGTGGCTCAGTGGTAGAGCGCTTGCCTTGCATGCATGGGGCCCTGGGAAAAGGAAAAAGCCAGAAGTGGTGCTGTGGCTCAAGTGGTAGAGTGCTAGCCTTGAGCTGAAGAGCTGAGGGACAGCGCCCAGGCCCAGAGTTCAAGGCTCCACGACCGGACCCCCCAAAAAAAAAGAGTCTCACAGACTTTCTTGCCCGGGCTGTCTTAAAACCGTGATCCTCAGATCTAAGGCTCCTAAGTAGCTAGAATTAGAGGAGAGTCTTCAGTGCCTGGCCAACCTGGTCATTCTTTGTCTTGTTTTTTTTTTTGCTAGTCCTGGGTCTTGAATTCAGTGCCTGAGTGCTGTCCCTGAGCTTCTTTTGCCCAAGGCTAGCACTTTACCACTTGAGCCACGGTACCACTTCTGGCTTTTTCTGCATATGTGATCCTGATGAATTGAACCCAGGGCTTTGTGGATGCTAAGCAAGCACTCTACCACTAAGCCACCTTCCCAGCCCTCCATTCTTGATATAGAGAAAAAGTGATAGCTGGGCACCTGTGGCTCACACCTGTAATCTTAGCTACTCAGGAGGTTGAGCTCTGAGGATCAAGGTTAGAAGCCAGCTTGGGCAAGAAAGTTCATGAGACTCAGCACCAGTTAACCACCTGAAAACCAGAAGTGGCCCTGTGGCTCAAAGTGATGGAGCATTAACCTTTAGAGAAAAAGCTCAGGAACAGCACCCAGATCCTGAGTTCAAGCCCTACGAATGACCAAAAAAAAAAAAGTGAACCTTTTTGAGTATTGATTTTGTATCTCCCTACCTTTCCAAAGGTATTTGTCAGTTCTAGTAGTTTTTTGGTGGCATGTGTACTATCTGTTAAGCATAGGATCCTATCATCAGAAAACAAGATTTTATTTGTATTTACTATTTGAATCACTTTTCTTTCTCCTATGTTATTACTGTGGCTAGGTATTCTAAAGCTATATTAAATAATGGGGAGAGAAGACATCCTTGTCTCATTCCTCACTTTAGAGGAAATGATTTTGATTTTTGATCATTTAATACAGTGTATGGATTTATCACATATAACCCTTACTAAATTTAGGTACATCTGTCTTCAGAGCTTTTATCAGTAAAGGATGTAGAATTTTGTTAAAGGCTTTTTTTTTTTTTTTTTTGTCAGTCATAGGGCTTGAACTCTGTGCCTGGGCACTGCCCCTCAGCTCTTCAGCCCAAGGCAAGCACTCTACCACTTGAGCCACAGCGCCACTTCAATTTTTCTGGTGGTTTATTGGAGATAAGAATCTCATGGACTTTCCTGGCCAGGCTGGCTTTGAACCATGATCCTCAGATCTCAGCCTCCTGAGTAGCTAGGACTACAGGCATGAGCCACTAGTGCCTGGCTTTGTTAAAGGCCTTTTGTGCATCACCTGATGATGTGATTTGTTCTAGTGACACATTACATTGATGTATGTACTTTTTCTTTTGATGTTGCTGTATTCACTTTTCAAGAAATTGAGAATTTTTGCTTCAAAGTTCAACAATGAAAATTGTGCATAACTCTTGTTATATCCTTGTTTGGTTTTGGATTGCTTTATATAGACTTTGACAGCACTGGATTGCTTTACATAGACTTCGGCAGCATTCCTTTCTATTTCATGGAAGCCTTTGTTTTTATTGGTATTAGTTCTTTTGAAGGTCTGAGGGCTGGTAGAGTTCAGCCATAAATCCATCTGACTTTGTTGAGAGACTATCACTATTTTGATATCATTACTTATTATAGCTCTGTTTAGGTGGTTTATATCGTCTTGGTTCAGAGGGTCAGCTGTATCTAAAAAAATCCACTTCTAAAATTTCTAGCTTGAGGGGCTGGGAAGGTGGCTCAGTGGTAGAGTGCTTGCCTCGCATGCATGAGGCCCTGGGTTCGATTCCTCAGCACCACATAAGCAGAAAAAGCTGGAAGTGGTGCTGTGGCTCAAGTGGTAGAGCACTAGCCTTGAGCTGAAGAGCTGAGGGACAGTGCCCAGGCCAAGTTCAGGTACCATGACTGGCAAAAAAATTCTACCTTGAGTATAGATTTTTAAAGTATTCCTTAATTATCCTTTGGGTTTCTTTGGTAGCTGTTGACATTCCCTTTTTCCACTTTTTTTTGTCGGTCGTGGGGCCTGAACTCTGGGCCTGGGCGCTGTCCCTCAGCTCTTCAGCTCAAGGCTAGCGCTCTACCACTTGAGCCACAGCACTACTTCCGACTTTTTCTGCTTATGTGGTGCAGAGGAATCGAACCCAGGGCCTCATGCATGCAAGGCAAGCACTCTACTACTGAGCCACTTTCCCAGCCCTCCACTCTAATATTATTGATTTGAATCTTTCCAGATTAGCTAGGGATTAATCTTACTTTTTCAGAGAACTTTTATATTTTATTTGTATAATGTTTTGGTCTCCAATTCATTAATTTCTGCCTTTTACTATTTTTGTTCTTTTTGCTGGTCCTGGGGCTTGAACTCTGGGCCTGGACGCTGTCCCTGGGCTTATGCTCAAGGCCAGCCCTCTACCACTTGAGCCACAGCTACACTTCCAGTTTTCTGGTGGTTAATTGAAGATAAGTCTCATGGACTTTACTGCTTGGGCTGGCTTCGATCCACAATCCTTAGATCTCAGCCTCCTGAGTAGCTAGAAATACAGGCATGAGCCACCAGCGCCCAGCTATGTCTATACTATTGTTGTATTGTTATTTTCTTTCTCTAAGTATATCAGAAGGCTATTTGGATGTTTACTAGTAATTTTTGTGATGTAGGCATTCTTGGCTACGAATTTTCTCTCAGCACGACAGTCTTTGCTATGTATGTCCCAAAGATTCTGATGTGTTTTCATTTGCATTAGTTTCCAGGAACTTTTTGACTTTTCCTCTTATTTCTTCAGTGATTCATGTCTGTCAACAGTGGTTGTTTGGTCTCCATGTATTTGAATATTTTCTGTAGGATCTTTTGCTGTTGAGCTCTAGTTTAAATCCATTATGATCTGACATGATATGTTCAATTGACAGGTTGAATTGAAACTCTTTGGTACATTAAAAGATTTTTTTTTTTAAAAACTAATTTCAGTTTTCTTGTGTTTTCTCATATTTGCTATACTCCTAAGATATGGTCTGTTTTGAGGAAATTTCCATGGCCTGCTGAGAAGAGCATGTATTGTACTACCACGGGGCAAAATGCTCTGTAGATGTTTGTTAGATTCACGGTGCCATTTAATTCAGAGGATCTTTGATTTTTTTTTTTTTTTTGCTTGATGACCTGTCTGTTGGTGAGATTGGGTAGACATATACTTAAATGTTTAAACACCTGATGAACTTAGTCTAAGTAATTGTACAATTTCACATTTCCACCAGCAGAATGCATTCCAGGTGCTCCATCTTCTCATACTTAAGCCATTCCAGTAGATGTGTGCTCGTATGTATAAGTTTTTATTTGATGGAAGAAGTCCCTTTCAATGGAAGATCTGTATTCAGAGCTGAAGAGGCCAACTGAACAGGAGAGCAAGGCCAAGTGTCAAGTGTCTCTCAAGATTCCAAATGTCTTTGGAGAGATGGCAGCTATAATAAAAAATTTAACTCTGGGGGCTGGGAAGTTGGCTCAGTGGTAGAGCACTTGCCTTGCATGCCTGAGGCCCTGTGTTCAATTCCTCAGCACCACATAAGCAAAAAGAAAAAAGCCGGAACTGGCGCTGTGGCTCAAGTGGTAGAGTGCTAGCCTTGAGCTGAAGAGCTGAGGAACAGCACTCAGGCCCAGAGTTAAGGCCCCACGACCGGACCCAAAAAAAAAAAAAAAAAAATTTAACTCTGGCTGGGATGTAGCTCAGTGGCAAAGTGCTTGCTTAGCAGGTGCAACACTCCAGGTTCGATCCCCAGTACCATTAAAAAAAAAGGGGGGGGCTGGGAAGGTGGCTCAGTGGTAGAGCACTTGCCTTGCATGCCTGAAGCCCTGGGTTCGATTCCTCAGCACCACATAAGCAAAAAGAAACAAGCCAGAAGTGGTGCTGTGGCTCAAGTGGTAGAGCGCTAGCCTTGAGCTGAAGAGCTGAGGGACAGCGCCCAGGCCCAGAGTTTAGGCCCCACAACCGGACCCAAAAAAAAAAAAAAAAAAAAACAGTAACTCGGGTCAACACACAGACCATTGATGTGGTAGCCTCCATGGCCTCTAGCAGCTTTGGGAAACAGACCTAAGTCCACACTGAATGTCAGTGGGCCCTAGGGGAGAAACTTCCCATTGGATCTGGCTAGCAGGGGGTCATCAGCCTTAGCTAAGCATCTGAAACCTGGGGGAGACACAGAATAAGAGGAGCAGTTGTTGCACAGAGACCTCAGTGCTGCCTAGGAAAAGCAGTAGCCCCATATGTGGATGTCTCAGTTAAGCAGATGGCACTCCTGCCTTGGTGAATGCCACCTCACTCACAGCTGATGGCCCAGGAGCCCCACTGGCTTCATGAAAATGAAGCTGTCATAGTTGCCTGACAAGAAACAAGTGCTGAAATCTTGTGTTTCAAAAGTAGCCTCTGCCTTGTTACTATTTATGTTTTTTAGAGTGCAAAATGTGGGGGAAGGAAGAAGTACAAGAGCCATCTAAAGATACTGCATAGCTCACAATTACACAGTACAGATTTGGCCAAAGACAAACTTACAGAGCAGCCAGTTTGGGAAGGCAAGGCATACATTACACAGCATTCACACTAGTTATGTAGTTCCTGGAATCCTAACAAGAAAACTCTTTAGTGATGATGGAATAAAAGTTTACACAGTTACAAATACACAGACTTTCATTTGTAAAGAAACACATTGTTTTTAATACCTACAAACATCATTTTCTTGAATCAGCACACATGCCAAACAGGTACTACCTCGTCACCCCTCCTGGCATCCAGGACCCCGAGGGTCTTGGGTGACAAGGGCCTAGATACATGGAGGACAGTTCATTGACAAGAGGTAGGTAGAGAATGCAATTCAGCAGAGGTGGATGGGACCAAGAACACCTTCCCAGGCCCAGGGGGACTCACAGGAATACCCACAGGTACAGAGGATCAAATACTTTTCCCAAGTGAACTTGAGTCAGGGATGTTTTCTCCCAGTGTTATTCTCCAAGCTCCCAAAAAAGTTACTGGCATACGGCAGGGCTTTAGTAAATAGGAGCAAATCAAGAGAACACAGAAAAAAGCATTTTATAGACTATAAAGTGCCATCCAATATACAGCATTAATACCAGTTCATCTTCCAGATTCTAGGCAGATCTCTGAATTTTTTAAAAAATACTCTCATGTTTATTCAGTGACTGATAGCAAAATATTAATTTCCTAATAGCTGTTGTTATAGTGCAGGGAAAATCGGGATGGGGAAATGTTACAAAGGGCAGAATGTTACAGCCAGACACAGGAGGCATGAAGAAAACAAACTAGTTTAAAGGAGAAATAGGAGAGGCTGGCACAACAGGGCTGTGACAGGGTATGGCACACCACAGAATCTCTGTGCCAGGAGCACAGAAGGTGTTCAATAAATATTTATAAAATGGGAAAGGGAAGGGAGGGAGGGAGTCTGAGCTGATGATCTTGCAAGCAGCACTGGGGTCTCAGGAAAATGAGCTCCAGGCTGCTGACCACATGACAGATGGCAATGAGCCAAGGAATGCTGAAGCGCCCTAGAGCTTCCCTGCATGCCAAGGGAAACTGTCCATGCCACTGCTGCGCCCTACACTTGCTCACAGGCTAGAGGGCATGTATAACCCACCCCTCACCCACCAGCCAAGCACATGGGGGTCTCACTGCACTGTGGGTTCTTGGCGATGCTGGGTCTTCTGGTGCCGGTTGAGAATGGACCTCTGGTTGAAGCTGCGCCCACAGGCAGGGCAGTGGTAGGGCTTCTCGCCCGTGTGGATCCTCTGGTGGCGGACCAGGCGCTCACCCTTGCTGAAGCGCTTCCCGCACACCTGGCAGCCGTAGGGTTTCTCACCAGTGTGGGCGCGCCGGTGCACGGCCAGGTTGGCATTCCTGCTGAAGCTCTTGCCACACTCGCAGGTATAGGGCTTCTCACCGGTGTGTGTCCTGCGGTGCACCTGCAGGTGCTGGCGGCGGCTGAAGCTCTTCCAGCAGTCAGCACACTTGTAGGGCTTCTCACCCGTGTGGCTCCGCTGGTGCACTTCCAGGTGGTGCCTCTGGCTGAACGTCTTCCAGCACTCGCTGCACACATAGGGCCGCTTCCCCAGGTGTGTTCGCTGGTGCTTGGTGAGATACTCCCTCAGGGTGAAACCCTTCCCACACTCCACACAGCCAAATGCCTTCTCCTCCTCGTGGGTCCTCTGGTGGCGGACCAGGTTGGAGCTCCGACTGAAGCCTTTCCCGCACTCAGGACATTGGAAAGGCTTCCACGAACTGTGGATGTGGGGGGCATCAGGCAGGGGGACACCGTGCTGGGGTGCAGGAAGTCCAGGCAAGTCACCCGCAGGGCCCCCAGGCTCCTGCTCACAAGCTCGTCCAGGGCCAGGCCCCTGGACAGCAGCTTCTGCAAACCTCTCAGGAGCCAGCCCACCGAATGCCCCTTTCAGGTCCTCCTCATGGGGCTTTGCATCCTTGTCCTTGCTCCCTGAACCTATGAAGCAAAGGTTAATACTGATGCTGTGACCACAAGGAACTACTGCCCACAGGAGTCCAAGAACTGCTCTTCTCCCTCACCCCTACATCTAAACATTCCCCTCTTTTCCCTTCCCTGACAGGTTCCAACAGCTGACAGCTACACTGCTTGCTACTGCCCCTTCAGTCCTACAAAATCTAACAAACACATTCCTCTCAGAGCCTGAGGATTTGCTCTCCATGGCATCTTCTGCACTATACTCAGTCCTTGTTCAGCATTTCGTCACTGCTTCCTATGGCAAACATTAACACTAACCATATGGTTCTCCCTGTCCTCTTGCTCAGCTCCTGCCCTCATGCTGCCTCCTCTGCCCAACCTTCTCTGTCACTCATTGGGCTTCCCGGCAGGGGTCACCTGCAGGAAGATGGCCATCAGTGCTGGCTGAATGAATGAGCCTGGTCTGCCCCCTATGCTGAAACAGCTGTCAGGAATGAAATGATCTGAATGTCACTACAACCCAACCTCATCCTTTTTTGCCCTAATTCTGGTCCCTCTACAACTCTATAATCTACAGAGACAACTGTTACTAGGGAATGAAGAATACTAAAGAGGATGAAATAAACCAGGCACTGGTAGCTCATGCCTGTAATCCTAGCTACTCAGAAGGCTGATATCTAAGGATCATGGCTCAAAGCCAGCCCAGGCAGCAAAGTCCTGGAGACTGTTATCTTCAATTAACCACCAAAAAAGCCAGGAGTGGAGCTGTGGCTTAAGTGGTAGAGTACTAAGCCTAGGCACAAAAGCTCAGAGACAGCACCCAGGCCCTGAGTTCAAGCCCCAGGACTGGCACAAAAAAAAAAAAAAAAAGGGCAGAAATGACAGTGGCACTTAAAAAAGGAGAAAACCCTTTCAGGTAAGTCCAGGACCACATGAAAAAGAACTGGAAGCCAGGCGCTGGTGGCTTATACCTCTAATCCCAGCTACTCTGTCAGGAGGTTGAGATCTGAGCACGGAGGTCCCAAAGCCAGCCTAGGAAGAGTTATCACCACTGATTTTTATTCTTTATGAACTTTTCATGAAGGGCACAAAATATGAATGCAGAGCTCAAAGAATTTCCATATCGAGCACAATCTTGTAAAGAGCTCCACTCCCAGCTACATCTCTACCCAGGCCTCTCAAGCCCGGAGATGCCTATCTGGTAAGGGTGGACTGGGAATCCAAAGGAGCTGAGAGCCCACCAACCATGTCCCCAGATTCACAGGCCAGGACCACAAGCAGCTCAGGCCCAGCCCCTGTGGCTGTCCCTGCAAGGACTAGATGACATGGAATGAATGCCAGAAGTGGGGAAGGGTCTGGAAAACAGACCTTCATGTCATCCAACAGAAACAACTTGGGATATGTGCCAGTTAGTTTTGAAACATGGAGCTAGTGAGGAGACAGTCAATATGCTCAGGGTCTCCATAACAATCAGAAACAGCCAGAAGGGTAGAAAACCACATGGAGGCATGGTAGAAGTTCATCTCTATGGGGGTTGGGATCATGGCACTGGGGAGCATCATAGAGCCCCTGTTTTAGGCAGTTGTTTATCCTAAGGGCTTGCTTCCATGTCCTTGGCCATCATATCAACCCCAGGGCTCCATGTAAAGCATGCCTGCCTTAGAAAGATAACCTGGCTACACCCATGTCTCCCAATCCACCCAGGGCTCTTCCCAGTTCCTGGAACCACTGTGGCATGACTTGGCCATCATATAAACTATCAGACCCTCGAGGCAAGCATGCTTCCCCTTAGGATTGGGTTTTACTATATGCAGCCCAGCCTGGCCTCAGCCCACGACATGGCACCACCATGCCTGGCTTAGAGGCAAGCCCATTATTTTTCTTGACTGTACTGGGGACAGAACTGGGGTTTGAACTCAGAACTCTGCACTTGCTAGACAGGTGCACTATGTAAGCTACACCTCCAGCAGCACTTTTATTTTTAACTCTTCATTGACCAGCAGAGCTCTGCCGTACAGTAAAATACCAAGTTAACCTTCATAGGTGAATAAATATCAACTGGCCTATAAAAGAATCAGTAGTATTTATACAACTAAGAAAAATATCTGACACCACTGTCTGACACATGTCCCCTTTCAGCCTCACAAAGCCTGAGGCCATGCCTGTGTACAGCCCATTTCACAACTAGGACGGCTAAGACTTGGGCATCAAGGGAAATGCCCAAGGTGGTAGTTAGGAGGCAGTGGCCAGAGGACATCTTCTGTCCTGAGGGACAGTCCTCACTCATCCCTTAAGTACAGGAAGGTGAGCAAAGACTAGGAGCTACTATCAATATACAACTTACCAAGTTATAAGAGGAAACAGAACTGGTGGGAAGGACGACAGCTTCTCCCAGCCATGTGTCCTTTCTCTTCCTCGTCCTCATTGAACCTGAGATTTTCCACAGTCCTCCTGACTGGAGACCTCCCGACTGGCAGACCTTCCATGCTGCCCTGGCTCTCTTCTGCTCCTATCATATGTGGGATGGCTATACCCTCACAGGTCATACCTGGCCACCAGCCAGGCTGCTGCCTCTATGACACAGGCCCACCCTGACCTCTCTCATTTCTAACACCTACTGCACATCCACACATGCACTTGTGGTCCAGCCCTACCTTCTTCCTGCCCTAACACAAAGCTACAGCACAGGACCTGCACACAGAGTGCTCACTAACAACCTCCTGAATGAACAAGATCAGAAGCCTCCTTGTTTTCATCCTGCTGTCAGCCCTCCCTACCCTTTAATCAAGGACACACAGCAGACATATGTGGTTCCTAACGACCAACTGCCATGTGCAGCCACAATAACAGCTTAGCATTTTCCTGCTCTCCGCTCAGACCCTACGCTTGACACAAGAGCACATGCAGCCAGCGCCTTCCATCCCCAACCCATGCTCTTCTTGGGTGCCATGGAAACCCCATCCCTTGCAAGTAGCACCAGGACAGGGCAAGACCCATTACGTGTAGGTTCCAAAACTCCGGTCTTACCTGGAGGGCCCCCACAGTCCTGTGGTTCCACATATTCCCCAAAGCAGTCGATCTGGGCTGGGGTCACATGCCTCCACTCCTCCTCGGGGAAGACCAGGGCCATGTCTTTAAATGGCCCCAGTCCCTGAAACAGCAAGAGATTGCTAGAAGTGAAGAGTGCCTACAGCTGGCATGGTGGTGCAGCCTTGTAATTCCAGCTACTTGGAAGGTAAAGAGAAAGGATTGCAAGTACAAGGACAGCCCAAGCTATACAATGACACCTGTGTCAAAAAAAGAAAATAGAGTGGGCTGGGAAGGTGGCTCAGTGGTAGAGCGCTTGCCTTGCATGCCTGAGGCCCTAGGTTCGATTCCTCAGCACCACATAAGCAAAAAGAAAAAAAAAAGCTGGAAGTGGCACTGTGGCTCAAGTAGTAGAGCACTAGCCTTGAGCTGAAGAGCTGAGGGACAGCGCCCAGGCCCAGAGTTCAGGCCCCATGACTGGACCCAAAAAAAAAGAAAACAGAGGGCCAGGAAGGTAGCTCAGGGGTCAAGTGCTTTCCTTGCATGCATGAGGCCCTGGGTTCGATTCTCAGCACCACTAGAAGCAGAAAAAAATGGAAGTGGTACTGTGGCTCAAGTGGTGGAGTGCTCACCTTGAGCTGAAGAGTTGAGGGACAGCATCCAGGCCCAGAGTTCAAGCCCACAACCGACAAAAAAAAAGAAAAAAGAAAAGAAAATATAGCCAGGTGCCAGTGGTTCATGCCTGTAATCCTAGCTATTCAGGAGGCTCAGATCTGAGGACTGCAGTTCAAAGCCAGTCTGGGCAAGACACTCCATGAAACTACTATCTCCAATTAACCAGCAAAAAGCAGAAGTGGAGCTGTGGCTCGAGTGGTAGAGCACTATCCCTAAGCAAAAAAAAAACCAACCTCCCCACCCCCCAAATAAAAAAACCAACTCAAGGAAAGCACCTAGACATTGAGTTCAAGTCTCAGGACTGGCACATACACACATAGAAAGAGAGCGAGAGAAAATACAAACCAAAAGACTAGGGTGTGGCTCAAGTGGCCACACACTAGCTTAACATGTAGGAGTCCCCAGAAAGTGCTCCTTGGGGCACACAGGAAGGACTCAGCAGAGGAAGGCAGATGCCCTGGAGTAAAACAACCCACCTCCCAACAGCTTAAGGGAGTGCTCAGCTGATTCAGCTTGGGCATCCCACATCCGCCCTCATGCTTCAGAGCCCCAAGCTGCTGTCTTAGGTATAATGCCATGTTGCTATGCCAAAAGTCAAGTGGGCTGGGGGATACGGTATACAGTTTAATGGACAACTAGTATATGCTAATAAAAAGAAAATACATAAATGCAACTTTTTTAACAATTGTGTCACACTACAACCTGAGGAACCACTAGGGTGAAGGGAGGCTCTGAACACAGGGAGAATTGCCCACACCCTTCCCTACACCCTGCAAACCATGTCCTTGGAAATCATATGGGGAATGGCAAAGGCATCAAGTCTCTCCACAGGCAGCTCCCAATGGGTCCAATGTACACCTTTTTTTTCTACCAAATAACCCCTTTCCCTTATCAAAGAACACTGGCTAGCTTCTAATTCATGATTCTTCTGCCTCAGCTTCTGGAGAAGTTGAGAGTACAGTATATAACAATATAACTTACTAAAGGTATGGCTTTTTTAAAGACATGGCTTTTTAAAGATATTTTTAACACTTGCCCCACTCAAAAAGGCACCTCTGGAAACCCTGTAGAAGATTCAAGCTGTGGCAAGAAGCTCTGTTTCTCACGAACCCTAACCTGTGTGTGGCAGGTTCACATGTTCACAAGACCCCAATTCCTGAAAGACAAGTGTGAGCCAGAGACACTGCTTAGCACCCAGGACCCCCCACTCAGGGCCCAGTGCCACAAAAGGCAGCTATTTCCAAACAAGCAGTTTCCCCAGACCCATACACAGGTTTTCCTCAGTAGCAATCTCTCCTCTCATGAGGAAGAAAATAACAGCCACAGTCAGTCTGGAACTTCAGCCAGGTATGATGTGCATACCTGTAATCCCTGCACTCGGATGGCTGAGGCAGACAGACTGCAAAATCCAAACTAGTCTATGCTACATTGTGTCTTTTTTATTTTAAATCTGGGGCTTTTCTTTTTTTAGTCTGGGATTTAGGGTCCAAGCATAAGCTGGTGTGTTTCACCACGGACCATGATGAAGTAGCAAGAACAACGTGGTAGAGCCATCACAGCTAGGAAGGCAGTGGCTGGCTTTATGGACAGCATAAAACCTCAGGGAACGAGAACCCCAGTCTAAGCAGGATCAGGATTTCCAAAAGAGGAGGGAGCCTTGCTCACCTGGGATCCTGCTGTAAGGAACCCAGCTGCCATGTCTTGTTCTCTGGCACTCACTGTGGGGAGAGATGGACCTGGCGGGAGGATAGGCAGCGCTGAGCAGGGATGGAAAAGACAGAAGGATTAGCACTCTTGTCAGTCAGTCCATTCTAAAAGGCATCACCCACTCAACACATACAGCTCAGGAACACACAGGCCCCAGAGTGACCCACATCCAGGGGCAGGGGTGGGGGTCTGACTGTCCTAGCTCTTCAGGGTCGGTCAAACTCCCTGGTCACACTCATGGACAACTCTCTTTGAGAGAAAACAAAGTCACATATGGGTGTGCTCTGATGTCAGCTGCACATTTCCTAGTGTTTTCTAGAAGGGATGTGAGGGAAGGGAGAAGGAACACTAACTCCACCATCCCCTCCAGACACCATGTGTTCAGTTCAGTTGACCAAGTGGCTGGGAATTCAGAGTCACACCTTGCAGGTAACTCAGTTTACGTCTACTGGACTTCTAAAGGAGGCTGTCCATAGGGCACGGTTTCCAGGCTCCTCACCATCTGCGTCTTACCCTGCTCCGGAAACGCCTGTGTCCGGTCCCCACGATGCTGACTCAGCTGTTCCTCGGTGCTTTGGTCTAGGCCTTGAACACCTTCCGCATGGGGCATCCCCCACTCAGGCTTAACCTCCACTGGCCCCAGATGAACCCCTGGCTCCCAAGAGCCTTGGCCAAGGGCTGTCTCCTGCTGCTCTCCCAGCACATGGCATGGAACCTGAGGACAGTCCCCAACACCAATTAGTATCAGGATTGGTCAAGGCCATTAAGAAAGGAGTTGAGGCACCAGTGGCTCATGCCTATAATCCTAGCTACCCAGTAAAAGTTGAAATCTAAGTATCAAGGTTTGAAGCCAGCCTAGGCAAGAAAGTCTCTGAGACTCTCATCTCTAATTACCCACCCAAAAGCCAGAAGTGGAGCTGTGGGTCAAGTGGTAGAGCACTAGCCTTGAGTAAAAAAGCTCATGGATAGTACCTAGACCCTGAGTTCAAGCCCCAGGACTGGCACAAAAAAGATAAAAAAGAAAAGAAGGGAGTTGAATTGAAACCTACTAAGAGAACCAAGGAAAGGACCTCGTGGCTTCAGAGAGGGAGTTTTTCCCAGGGCAGCAGAAAATGTTGGAAAGGAAGCTCAACTCCCTATATGGAGCCCAGAGCAACTTGGATCTGTGCAAGCCAATTGACAAGGGTCTCTCTGCTGCCTTCAGAGGCAGAATCCCCATGCTCCACATCACAGACAGCCCAAAACTGCACCACATTCACTGCAAGAAAAATCTCCTAAGCTGACAAAGCTGAAATTTCAAAGAAAAAAGACAATGCCTACAGTCTACAGTGGATCAGTGAGAAACAGCTGCTCTACAAAGAGGACAACCTGGAGAGAGGCCAGGGGGAGGGAGGAAGGAGGGAGTGAAGGGAGGACCTCACTCTAAGATACAGCCACAAAACAAAGTCCTCCTAGCCCACTTCTAAGCCCCTGCGTTGAGAGTGAAAATCAAATTCGCTTAGGACTCTCCGGTGAGACAAGAGGGACCCCAGCAGTGTGGCAAGCATGGGACTTGTCAAATGACTACTGCAGTGACCAAAACACAACCAGAGTCTGGAAGCATCATATGGTAAGTCCTTCATACCATGAGAACAGCACTACAGCTCTGTCACAGGGGCCCAGACATGCAGACAGCACAGCTATAGGCCCCTGCACTATCCCCCCCAAAAAAAGGGCTGGGTATGTGGGGGGACTCAGAATAATCACATCGCAGTCCTTTGACACACCAGCATCTTCCCTGGGAATGGCTCTTCTTGTGGAGACTCCTGCCTCATCCACTTCCTCTATACTCTCCACTCATTAGGCCCCACGCCAACCAAGACCTGGAGGCCCTCTTCTCACCCACCGCCTTGGCCTCCAGCGCACTCTCCGTCAAATCCTCCACCATGGCCACCAGTGCCTTGCCACTCTCCAGGCCGTGCTCCCGAATCCATGCATAGAACTCCCGGGGCAGGATGGTCAGGAACTGCTCCAACACCAGCAGCTCCAGGATCTGCTCCTTGGTGTGCAACTCTGGCCTCAGCCACCTGCGACAGAGCTCCTGGAGCTCCCTAAGGGCTTCCTGGGGACCAGCGGCCTCCTGGTAGCGGAACTGGCGAAACCTCAGACGAAAGGTTTCAGGACTGGAGTCTTCCCTCGCCCTGCCCCAGGGCAGCTCCTTCTCCAGCTTCACCACAGGAACCCCCATGTGCTGCTGAGGCTCTTCCGCCATCCCTGGGCGCTCCTTAAGCATCTTCACTCTCCCTCGCAGAAGACTGAGAATGAAGGGACAAAGGAGCGTTTGAGAACACAAGACATGTGACGGCCAGTCCATCCCAGTCCTGAGGCCAGTCCATCCCAGTCCTGAGGCATCGTCAACAAATATTCTACCAGGGAACAAGCTAAAGGCCAGCAGAGGCATTTCCAAAGGGCTGAGTATACATCCCCAAAGTCCTGCCCATTAAACTCAGGATTCGCTCAGTACACAGAATATACAGAAAAAAAAAAAAAATGTGGCACTATGGCTCACACTTATAATCCTAGCTACTCAGGAGGCTGAGATCTGAAGGTCACCACTCAAAGCCAGCCCAAGTAAGAAAGTCTGTGAGATTCTTATCTCCAATAAACTACTCAAAAAAGGCTGTAGCAATTGAGGATAGCCTAGAGCAAAAGAGGCTCAGGGAGGGGCTGGGAAGGTGGCTCAGTGGTAGAGCGCTTGCCTTGCATGCCTGAGGCCCTGGGTTCGATTCCTCGGCACCACATAAGCAAAAAAGAAAAAAGCCGGAAGTGGCGCTGTGGCTCATGTGGTAGAGCACTAGCCTTGAGCAGAAAAGCTGAGGGACAGCGCCCAGGCCCAGAGTTCAAGCCCCATGACCGGACATAAAAAAAAAAAAAAAGAGGCTCAGGGACAGCACCCAGGTCCTGAGTTCAAGTCCTACAACCAACAAAAAAGAGTGTGGGGGAGGAAATGTGTAAGATTCAGCTCATACCCACAAACAGCTCAGGACCTCACTGGGAACATAACCCTACAACTGGGAAATAAGAAAAGGGTAATACTTAGGTCTTCATTTAATACACACACACACACACACACACACACACACACACACACACACACACACACACACACACACACACACACACACACACACACACACACACACACACACACACACACCATGTACCACATAACAGAGCACAAGCATACATGATGGTGGTCAGCAAGGGGGCTAGGAGCCAGGTGCTTGTGGCTCACACCTGTACACACACACACACACACACACACACACACACACACACACACACACACACACACACACACCATGTACCACATAACAGAGCACAAGCATACATGATGGTGGTCAGCAAGGGGGCTAGGAGCCAGGTGCTTGTGGCTCACACCTGTAATTCTAGCTGCTCAAGAGGATGACATCTAAGGATTCTGGTTCGATGCTAGTCTGGGCAAGAAAGTCCATGAGATTCTTACCTCCAGTTAACCAGCAAGAAGCTGTAAGTAGAACTATGGCTCAAGTGGTATAATACCAGCCTTGAGGGGAAAAAAAAAAAACACAATCTCAATGCTAGGCCCTGAGTTCAAACCCCAGGACCAGGTACAAGAAAGGTGAGGCAGGTTGGGTAGGCAGCTTACCAAGGACGGCAAGGCCCTGGGCTCCATCCTCAACACTAGGGTTAAAAAACATTAACACTGAGCTGAAAAATTCCTACCACCTAGTAACATCATGGCCATGGAAGTATGTAACACGGACCCAACACATGACATGTTTGTGCTGACACTGGAGTAACAAACCTCCTGTACTGCCTATTGTAGTTATATACTACCCATAATATTCAATAATGACAATAAAGAACTGATAACAAATGACTGTTACAGTCATGTGTTTACTATACTGTATTATGGTTTTAACTGTTTTGCGTATTCCTTCTAATAATTTTTTAAAAATGTAAAAGGCATTCTCTGCATGTAGCAGCCTATGTGTCTCATGTTTATTGTATATATTGATTGTATCACAAGGCCCTGTCAAATAATTCACCCTTAACATCGAGGTTTGTATACGCACAGTCCATGATGTTCAAACAACAATGCATTTTTCAGGATAGATCCCCATCATAAAGTAACAAATGACTGTACCTATATGTCGGTGGGTGTGTGGGTAGACGGGTAGGTGGATGGACAAATAAGTAGACAGTGGAATATCTACTCCACTCTCTGACATGTAGAAGATAGAAAAAAGACAGGCAAGGCATTTATCCTCTTGAAAGAGGGTATAATGCTATACACTCACTCACACACATGCATGCACCCGTGCATACACACACACACACACACACACACACACACACACTAAATGTAAGCAAATACATAAAAATTGTAACTGGGAGCCAAATGCTAATAGCTCATGCCTGTAATTCTAGCTACTTAGGAGACTGGGATCTTAGGATCACAGTTCAAAGCCAACCTGGGCAAGAAAGCTTGTGAGTCTCTTACCTCCAGAAATGGAACTGTGGCTCAAATGGCAGAACCTTGAGCAAAAAAGCTCATGAGCAGGCCCTAGGTTCAAGCCCCAGGACAGGTGCGCACACACACACGCATACAAACACATACACACACGCACACACAAATTGAAACTGGGGAAGAGTTCTATGAACAAATAAGTAGAGGTGGGAACATGGGGGGAGACAAAAGGCTTAAAGAAGACTTTTCTGAAGATAGAATCTTAGGAATGAAAATGAGCCAGTCATTCAACTATTTCAAAGCAAAAGCCCTGAGACTAGAAATTGCCATGCATGTTCAAAGACAAGCCAAAATCCTGTGTGGCTTCAACTGTGTGGCTGAGGGGCAGAGCCATACTAGAACAGATGGCAGAATTAGGCAGAACCCAAATTACCCAGGACCTGGGCCATGGTGTGAACCATGGATTCAGGGAGAATGCCTGTTTCAGCAGTAGAGCACTTGCCTATGATGCCTGAGGTCCTGGCTCAAGCCCAAGCACTGTAAAATAAGAAAAATAAATAAAATAAAATAAAAAGATTTACCGGCTTTATTCTTACTTCTTAGCTTAGTAGGGAGCTACATATTTTACAAAAGTCATACATGCCTATGCAGACAGAACAGATTAGAAGAGACACAAAGGCAATGGCCCAAGCAAGTGACAGGAGCTGACAGGGTGCAGACAATCAATCAGATAAAATTAAGATATACTGGGGCTGGGAAGGTGGCTCAGTGGTAGAGCGCTTGCCTTGCATGCATGAGGCCCTAGGTTCGATTCCTCAGCACCACATAAGCAGAAAAAGCCAGAAGTGGCACTGTGGTTCAAGTGCTAGAGCACTAGCCTTGAGCTGAAGAGCTGAGGGACAGCGCCCAGGCCCAGAGTTCAGGCCCCACGACGGACAAAAAAAAAAAAAAAATTAAGACATACTTTGCAGATAAAACCAACTAACTAGCTGGCAGATTGAGATGTGATAGTACACTCAGTCTAAAGCTAATGGCCTTTCTCACAAATACATGGTGTAGATAAAAATCATGAGGGGCTGGGAAGGTGGCTCAGTGGTAGAATGCTTGCCTTGCATGCATGAGGCCTTGGGTTCAATTTCTCAGTATCATATAAGCAGAAAGAGCTGGAAGTGGTGTGTGGCTCAAGTGGTAGAGCACTAGCCTTAAGCTGAAGAGCTGAGGGACAGTGCCCAGGCCAAGTTTCCCATGACTGACCCAAAAAAAAAAAAAAAAAAAAAGGTAATCATGAGAAACTAAAATAAGAGAAAAATTGAAGGGATGGGGAGGATGATGAAAAGGGTAACACTGATTAAGATGTCATTGTATTGAAAAGCTGTTTTGTTGAATGAAAACTCCTTTGTACAACTATATAATTTTTTTTTAATTTAATTAAAAAAGAGCCAGGCACTAGTGGCTCAAGCCTGTGACCCTAGCTACTCACACTTAGATCTGAGGACTGCAGTTGAAAGCCAGGGCAGAAAAGTGTCCATGAGACTTTTATCTCCAATAAACTACTCAAAAAAGCTGGAACTGGAGCTGTGACTCACGTGGTAGAACCCTGGGCTTGAGCACAAAGAGGCTTAGGGACAGTGCCCAGGCCCTGAAAAGGCTTAGGGACAATACCCAGGCCCTGAGTTCAAGCCCCAGGACCAGAAAAAAAATTTAAAAAAAAGGACTGGGAAGGTGGCTCAGTGTTAGAGTGCTTGCCTTGCATGTATGAGGCCCTGGGGTTTGATTCCTCAGCACCACATAGGCAGAAAAAGCTAGAAATGGTTCTGTGGCTCAAGTGGTACAGCGCTAGCCTTGAGCTGAAGAGCTGAGGGGCAGCATCCAGGCTCAGAGTTCAGGCCCCCTGACCCACAAGTAAAAATAAAAAATAAATTTAAAAATTTAAATATAGTGCTGGGAAGGTGGGCTCAGTGGTAGAGCGCTCTCCTTGCATGCATGAGGCCCTGGGTTCGATTTCTCAGCACCACATAAGCAAAAAGAAATAAGCCAGAAGTAGTGCTGTGGCTCAAGTGGTAGAGCGCTCGCCTTGAGCTGAAGAGCTGAGGGACAGCGCCCAGGCCTAGAGTTCAGGCCCCATGACTGGACCAAAAAAAAAAAAAATTAAATATATATAGTAGAGAGAGAGAGAAATTGACTGAGACAGGAATCCCCAGAGACTGAGACAGGAGAACTGCAACTTCGACAACAAAGCAAGACCCTGTCTAAAAATTACAAATTAAGCTGGATGTGGGTGTCTATCTGTGATCCTATCTACTCAGGAGGCTGAGAGCTAAAGATTCTGGTTTGAAACCAATCCAGACAGGAAAGAGTGAAACTCTTCATCTCCAATTAACCACCAAAAAGTCATGAGTGGAGCTGTGGCTCAAATGGTAGAGTGCCAGCTTTCAACGAAAAAGCTAAGGAATGGGCTGGGAAGGTGGCTCAGTGGTAGAGCGCTTGCCTTGCATGCTCAAGGCCCTGGGTTTGAGTCCTCAGCACCACATAAGCAAAAAGAAAAAAGCCGGAAGTGGCGCTGTGGCTCAAGTGGTAGAGCACTAGCTTTGAGCTGAAGAGCTGAGGGACAGTGCCCAGGCCCAGAGTTCAGGCCCCATGACCAGACCCAAAAAAAGAAAAAGCTAAGGAAGCCTGTCCAGGCCCTGAGTTCAAGTCCTAGTATAGAAACAAATAAGTAAATAAGCAAGCAAGCAAAGGATGAATGTAAGCACCTGGTGGGCAGGAGGGTGAGTCCTAACCTCTGTGCTGGCCTTCAGGAAGGAAACAGACCTGAACCCCGAAGAGATGTGACTAAATAGAGAAAGAACAGGAGGCGTGCCCAAGCTTCTGATAAATAATCTATTCGGCATTTGTGTATTTATCCTCCTCGAAAAAATTTTGGTTAGGTTGGTTGCTTTTGTTTTGTTTTGGTGCCAGTACTGAAGTTTGAACTCAGGGCCTCACTCTCACCTTCGGGTTCACCGCTGGCACTCTACCACCTGACTCAAGCAGTTTGCCAGCTATTTTGGAAATGGAGTCTGGTGGACTTTTCTGCCCGGCTGGCTGTGAACCACGACTTTGCAGATCTCAGCCTCCAGATTAACCAGGATTATAGTCAGGGGTCACCAGCGCACAGTTGTTGGTTTTTTTGGAGACAGAATCCTAGTGTTTTTTTGTTTTTTGTTTTTTTTTTTTTTTTTGGGGGGGGGGTCCGGTCGTGGGGCCTGAACTCTGGGCCTGGGCGCTGTCCCTCAGCTCAAGGCTAGCGCTCTACCTCTTGAGCCACAGCGCCACTTCCGGCTTTTTTCTTTTTGCTTATGTGGTGCTGAGGAATCGAACCCAGGGCCTCAGGCATGCAAGGCAAGCGCTCTACCAACTGAGCCAACTTCCCGGCCCAGAATCCTAGCTTTGTAGGCTCAGAATGTCCTCCAACTCCTGCTATTCCAAGTTGGGCTTCCAGCGTGCTGGGATTACAGGTATTCACTACCAAGTCCGACCTTCAAGCCCAATTTACATCTTACTGTCTACGATATGCAGTTTCCCTGCTGGGTCGGGGTTTCTCCTCCTGATCTTATAGCTATGGCACTAGTTCCCTCCGCCGGTGCGTACACAGGTACCGGGGTCTCCTTCCACCTTTCTTCCAGGTGTGGTACTAGACAAACAGGAGACTTCGCGTGGCTGTTCTTTAAATGGCCCGTCCTACGTCCTGTTCTAAATCCGCACTTTCACTTTTCAAAGAGTTCCCCCGGAGTTCAAAATTCCCCCCGGGGTTCAAGTCCACCCTGCGTTAGGCCACACAGGGCCTGGTGGGACCAGCCACGCTCCTACCTGAGCTATCGCGATGCGACGCGACGCGGTACGTTCGAGCCCCGGTCCGCAGAGCCACGGCGTCGCAGCTATACCGCAGCCAGCCCTGCCGCCGGCCCGCCGCCACCTCCGCCGCCCGCCTCCGAGGCCCCGCACCCCGGCTCTCTCCCACGAGCACCCGCACCTGAGCGGGCCTCGCCTGAACGCTCCGCGAACCGGAAGTAGGTGGCGGAGGCTGTCGGACAGGTGCGCAGGGAAAGATAGGCCACTTCCGTTTCCCCTCTAGGGCGCTGGGAGGTCTCGGAGGTGCGTCTCGATGGTCTTGCGTCACCGCCATAGGCTCCGCCCTCCGGGCTGACGGCGGCGCGCAGGTTTCCCGCGCGGGCTCGGCAGTGGCTCTGCTGTGCCTTGGCCCCTGCTTTTCTCCCGTGGATGGGGTTCAGTGTGTTGCACGGGTCTGTTTTGCGCTACAGTGCTTTAGAAGAAGCGTAGAGGGAGGGAGGGTGGGATAGAGGAAACACTGGACATCTATAGGGCTCACCAACCAGGCAGGCGCCTGGAGCACAGGGTGTGTGTGGAAGGGAGGGAGAGGCCGGGAGCCCTTGGTGAGTGTGTGCTGTAATCTGGGAAGGCTTCCTGGAGGAGCAAGACAGTTGAAGTGTGGACCCAGAAGTGCCAGGAATTGGTGTTATTTCCACATCAGCACGGTCACTACAATGTATGGCTGCACTAGCATACAGCACACACTCTCTCCTGCCTGTAATCCTAGCTGCCTAGAAGGCTGAGACCCAGAAGATTGAAGTTCAAAAATTCCTCAATACGCCATTCGCAAAATAAGCAGGAAAAAGGGTCCGGAAGATGAATCAAGTGTTACAGTAAGCTGAATGAGCATATGGTCCTGAGTTCAAATCTCAGTACCAAAAAAATGAGTTTTAATTACTTGAGAAAATTTCTGAGGGAATGCATCTGTACATTATCCTTTTGTATTCCAGTCCTGGGGCTTGAGCCTGAGGCTGTCCCTGAGCTTTTTTGCTTAAGGCTAGCACTCTTACCACTTGAGGCATAGCTCCACTTCGGGCATTTTTATTAGTGATTAATTGAACTGAACTTGAGAATCTTATGTACTTTCCTGAATGGGCTGGCTTGGAACTACAATCCTCAGATCTCAGCCTTCTACATGATCTACAGGTACTGTGCTCTTTTTTTCTTGTTTTGCTTTGGTGTCGGTACTGGGGCTTGAACCTGGAGCCTTTTTGCTCAAGACTGGTCTGCTACCATTTAGGCCACACTTCCGTTTCTAGTATTTTGCTAGGTAATTAGAGATGAGTTTCATAGACTCTTCTGCCCAGGCTGGCTTTGAACCATGATCCTCAGAACTTAGCCTCTTGATACCTGGCTTATCATCTTGATTGTGGTGACGGTTTTTACTGAAATATTTGTCAAATTTTGTGGAGTTACATACTTGGTGTGCAGTTTCTTGTCAGTTCTACCTCAATAATGCCACTACCTTTACCATTACTAGGGCTTGAACTCACTGGGGCTTTTTTCACTCAGGGCTAGCACTCTACCACTTGTGCATGCCTTGCAGTCCAGTTTTTTGTTCATTATTTGGGGATGGAGTCTCTCAGACTTTCCTGCCAAGGTTAGCTTTAAACCTAGTCCTCAGATCTCGTAATTCCAATAAGAGAGAAATAGTCTGAGCATGCAGGAAACCTCTGGCCATCTTTTTGGTCATTAGTCAGGGTACCATACATGTAGGGAGGGAAAGCTGCTATGTTGGTAGATGACTTGCCTTTACTTCTCCTATATGCACAGACTTAATTAGGTTCAAGCTTCTGGTCCCAGGAGACAAATTTTTGCCCCCTTTCTCAGCCCCAAATCTCCCCTCCTCCAAATACATATTGGGGAACATTTCCTGTATTAAGACATGCATTTATCTAGGAACATCACTTTTTAATATCAATGCAAATCCTGTGAATGGGTCTACTCTATATGTTGCTTTAAAAATCTCACTTCCTTTGATCATGTAATAAATATTCTTTCATCTCCTCCTTGCCTCCAGCCTTGGTTTTTAAGGTATGAATCAACACCTGAAAATAAAGAAAAAAGTATAAAGTTACTCAAGCCAGGCACTGGTGGCTCATGCCTGTAATCCTAGCTACTCAGGAGGCTGAGACCTGAGGAACACAGTTCGAAGTCAATCTGGGCAGAAAAGTCCCCATGAGACTTACCTCCAGTTAACCACTCAAAAACCGGAAGTGGTGCTGTTGCTCTGGTGGTAGAGTGCTAGCCAAGAACTACTAATTGTATGGAGGAGAAAGACAGTCACTATAGCATGAGGGAAGTGGAGGTTTAATTTGACCCTCAGAAGTTCCTCAAAGGGCTGGGCACTGGTGGCTCACGCCTGTAATCCTAGCTACTCAGGAGGCTGAGATCTGAGGATCTCAGTTCAAAGCCAGCCTGGGCAGGAAAGTCCATGAAACTCTTATCTCCAATAAACCACCAGAAAACCGGAAGTGGTGCTGTAGCTCAAGTGGTAGAGTGTTAGCCTTGAGCTGAAGAACTGAGGGACAGCACTCAGGCCCAGAGTTCAAGCCCCACGACTGACAAAAAAAAAAAAAAAGTTTCTCAAAGGCAGCAGAGAGGCTGGGTGCTGGTGACTCACATCTATTATCCTAGTTACCCAAGAGGATAAACCCTGAGGATGGTAGTTCAAAGCCAGCCTAGGCAGGACAGTCCATGAGAACCTTATCTTTTTTTTTCTTTTTTTCTTTTTTCCAGTCATGGGGCCTGAACTCTGGGCCTTAGCGCTGTCCCTCAGCTCTTCAGCTCAAGGCTAGCGCTCTACCGCTTGAGCTACAGCGCCACTTCTGGTTTTCTGGTGGTTTATTGGAGATAAGTCTTTCATGTACTTTCCTGCCTGGGCTGGCTTTCAGATATTGGCCTCCTGAGTAGCTAGGATTACAGGTGTGAGCTACTGGCGCCCGGCGAGACACTTATCTTTAACCAACAAAAAGCCAGAGTAGAGCTGTGGCTTAAATTATTAACATAGTTACAGCTGAGGGACAGAGCACAGGCCCTGAGTTCAAGCCCCAGTATCAGAGAGCAGCAGGAGAGGAGAGTCATGTACACTAGGAACGTGTACTCACCCGGCTAGAAAGAAGGGTAGAAGGCGATATCTTGGGCTAGATAACTGTTTCTTCCTTCAGCAGTGTCTCCTTCTTTATGGAACTCAGGTCTCCTCCCAAATTCTCTAGCTTCTCCAGGTGTGGAGTCCCCTGGGACTGCTCAGTGTTCTGGGAAATGGGCAATAAATGGCAGCTAAGGCAGGTTATTTCCTCAGAAAGGCAGATGGCACCTAGGTTAGAGCAAAAGCTTGGGTCAGATTGGAGAGGAAGAGTACAGAGCTCAAAGCTCCCTCCTGTAATGCAAGCCCTCTCTGTCTTGGGGCCTCCTTCCATGGCTCCCCCTCCAGAAGAGTGCCTCAGAAATAGAATGAGTGCTTCCAACCACAGGAATACCACCACATAGATGGAAACCATAGATGGAGAGTGGGAAAAAATCTTATCAGGAAAATCCAGGCTTCTTGATGCCTAGCTCAAAAGGCTCAGTAAAGTAAAACAAAAGGACAAAACAAAAAAGGATGTTCATAAAATCAAAATGGAGGGGCTGGGAAGGTGGCTTAGTGATAGAGTGCTTGCCTAGCATGCAGTAAGCCTTGAGTTCGATTCCTCAGTACCACATACACAGAAAAAGCCAGAAGTGGGGCTGTGGCTCAAGTGGTAGAGTGCTAGCATTGGGCAAAAGAAGTTCAGGGACAATGCCCAGGCCCTGAGTTCAAGCCCCAGTACTGGCACAAAAAAAAATTAAAATTTTTTTTTAAATAAGTAAATAATAAAAGCTATATTAAGGCTATTTTTTTTGTCCATCATGGGGCTTGAACTCTAGGCTTGGGCACTGTCCCTCAGCTCTTCAGCTCAAAGCAAGCGCTCTACCACTTGAGCCACAGTACCACTTCCAGTTTTCTGGTGGTTTATTGGAGATGAGTCTCATGGACTTTCCTGCCTGGGCTGTCTTTGAACCAAGATCCTGAGATCTCAGCCTTCTGAGTAGCTAGGATTGCAGGCGTGAGCCACTGGTGCCCGGTCAGGCTAAATTTTTTTTTAACTTACATTTTCAGCATTACAAAAGAACAGATACTCTCAGCAGAAACCTAGCACAGGCTCATGCCTGTAGTTCTAGCTACTCAGGAGGCTGAGCTCTGAGGATCACAGTTCAAAGTCAGCCTAGGTGGGAAACTCTGTGAGACTCTTATTTCTAATTAACTAGCAAAACAGCTGGGAGGGGCCTGGACTTCAAAGCTCAGGACTATTAATAGCCAGGTGGCAGTGGCTCACACCTATAATCCTAGCTACTCAGGAGGCTAAGATCTGAGGATTGCACTCAAAGCCAGCCCAGGCAAGGAAGTCCATGAGACTTTTATCTCCAATTAGCTATCAGAAAACCGGAAATGGCACTGTGGCCCAAAGTAGTAGAGTGCTAGCCTTGAGCTGAAGAGTTCAGGGACAGCATCCAGGCCCAGAGTTCAAGTCCCACAAACAACAACAAAAAAAATCTATTGAAATATAAGCAAACAACAAGAGAATATAAAATGACAAGACTTACGACAACACTTATAGTTATGAAAATAGGTACAATAAAAATCGTAGCTGGTGGCTCACGCCTGTAATCCTAGCTAATCAGAAGGCTGAGATCTGAGGATTGAGGTTCAAAGCCAGCCCGGGCAGGAGAGACCGTGAGACTCCTATCTCCAATAAACCACCAGAAAACTGGAAGTGGCGCTGTAGCTCAAGTGGTAGAGCACTCGCCTTGAGCTGAAGAGCTGAGGGACAGCGCCCAGGCCCAGAGTTCAAGCCCTACGACCAACAAAAAAAAAAAGTCGTAACAGATGAGACAAGGCTAAACAGCAGCTGGGTAATACAAATGTGAGCGGGACCTAATAAAGAAATGAAACAAGAAGGGAAAAGGGTAAAAATGCTGAAGGATGTTGAGCATTGTGGTACATGCCTGCATGTGGTACATGCTTGTGGTACAAGCATTCTGGAAAGGAAGGCAGGAGGGTCATTAGCTCAGGAGCCCAGCCTGGG